AGAGGAAGGAATGTGCAGGCAGGTGTAACTCCAGAACCTTAGTAATCAATGCATAGATTTTCTCCCTTTTCCTACACATTTTGGAATCCTCCTATCCCACAGTCTTGAGAGAAGAATATAGGCGCAGCAAGATAAAAAGGCTTTCTTAAAATATAAACATCAGATAATTATAAACAAATCACTCTCCGTGGAGGGCTGATGGTGGACCACACTACAGATGTAGCAGTTTTACAAAGCCCAAAAGTACTCTCTTTTTTTTTGCATTTTAAGTTTGTACTTTCTGTGACTTCATAACTCCACACTCCTACACAAACAATAATGTTTTAAAATATTCTTTTTTAAAAAACAAAAAGACATCTTTAGCAAAACATGACATTTATAGACTAGTTAAGGTATTAACCAGATACTGTTCTTTACCATGCTGATCACTGGTCCTGCCACCTGCCAAGTGAAGCCACAGCTCAATTTGGGAAGAAATTCACAATTGCATGTGTTTTTTAATTTATTTTGACATTATTGTTATTTGACATTATTGTTATTTTGACATTATTGTTATTCTTTAGAGACCTCTCATATCACCTGATGAAGCAGCACTGTCTTTCATGAGATAGTGGCTTTCTGTTTGCAAAGTGCAAAACGTATTTAATCCAATCAGGCTGAGGCAAAAAAAGAAACTGCACGAACCTCATATGGCCATTGGGGATGTGGAATTTACCTAGCTGATTTGGGTCAAGCTGTTACATATGAATTAGGAGTTCACCTCTTCAGCTTTCCTGCAACTCCCCCCACCCCAGCAGAAATAAGAACCCTTTACCACTATTGCCTCCACCAGAGGTTTTTAGTGATATGCCAGCTGAGTGCCTATGGAAAGTAAACCAACACCTATTTCTCTTGCCAGAGTCTTCCTCAAATCCCTCAAAGTACCTTTGATGTAAGAGAAGCATCGGGAATCTCACCTGTTGTAATTCAAATACAAGCCATAAATAGGAAAACACTGTATAAGATGATTCACAAAGTTACTTGGACAAATTATTAGTGACTGCTCTATACTGAGAGCCAGTTTGGTGTAGTGGTTAAGTGCACGGACTCTAATCTGGGAGAACCGGGTTTGATTCCCCACTCCTCCACTTGCATCTGCTGGATGACCTTGGGCAAGCCATAGTTCTGGCACAGCTGTTCTTGAAAAAGAGCAGTTTCTGTCAGAGCTCTCTCAGCCCTACCTACTTCACAGGGTGTCTGTTGGGGGCACGGGAAGGGAAAGGAGTTTGTAAGCCGCTCTGAGACTCCTTCGGGTAGAGAAGGGCGGGGTATAAATCCAATCTCCTGCTCTTCTTCTTCTTATACTACTGTATATAGTTTGCTGTAAATTGGACCCCACTGTGTAATCTTGCATCATTTTATGTGTCATTTTAACATCTATGCTTTGCTTCAATTCAATTTTTTAGACTTCTGGTTGGTTCTATAGCCCAAATCCTATTTCATTGTTTATGAAATATCCCATCCTATTGATTATATTGACTTGCACTGTGAATTCCACCCTGAGTCCCAGTGAGAAAGGTGGACTATAAAGTAAATAAAATAAATAATTCTTCGTACCTTGGTATCAAGGACTCAATAACTTCGAATTCATAAAAATAAAAAATACCAAAGTGTAATTAAAGTCCTGGGTTACAAAAAAGTAAAGCTGTTGAGCAGAGCAAAAAAGGTCAAATGGAAAATAAAATGACCGATAAAAGCATTCTTCTAAAACTTACCTAAATAGGACACTGAATTAAGAGCTCTGCAAAATGATCTTAAATTACCAGATTTCTGTTTCATCTCTTTATGCCATTTTCCCCAGATCTTCTCATGAAGCCATTTCCCCTTCAGCCAAGCCCTATCTTGGCATCTCCCTTTCCCAGCTATTCCTAGAAATCCCCAGTCCAAACACTGTATTTAAATTTTTCCCGCTTTCCTACTTTCAAGTGCAATGTGTGAAGTCCAAATAAAAAATTCAAATTGGAATGTCATTGTTTTCACTTCATCTAGGATTACAAGAAGTGTTCCAGAGTGGTGCATTTTATTGCAAGTCAGCTATAGTGTTGACTGCAATAGGCCTCGTGACTTGGGATCCACAGTTATCGGCAATACCCCATACTGTGGTAACAGAAAATTCATTATGCAAAGGATCATTTAGGAAAGATAACCACGCTTCTTGGTTGCCAGAATAGTACATTATCTATCATGTGTCTTTCAAGCAACAGTGACATCTAGTGGGTCAAAATTAAATGAACATTCTCTGGTCTCCACTTTCTCAGAACTGATCTGCATACAAGCACGTTAACGCATTTTATTTTAATCTAAAAATAAAGATGCCCACAGACAGTCTTGTACTTTCATAATTAAAACAGCTCCAGGAAAACTATTTCATTAAACTGCCACTAAATTACACTTAGGCCAGCTGCAAATGGGTAAGCTGTCTACCATCTTCAGGAAGTCAAAGCACAAAGTCTCTCCTGGAGGTTCTCTCACTTCACAATCTATTACTCCTCTTCAACAGAAAAGGACAAATAAAGATGATCATATATGAAATGGAAACTACCAGCCACAGCCAGCATATTTAGCTACATACAATACAGGAAGGCAAGGAGAGCTACTCTCAACCTATATATGCACTCTCTCTCCCTGTGATCCTGAGAGGTATTATCCAATGGATAGCATGAACCAATTACGGTAAACTGAATCATCTGTGTGAATCAGTATAGGTGGCCGCTAAAATGCAACACTGTGAAAGCTTCTTCATGAGAGAAACTATATTCCCAAGTTGTTTTCCCATAAACAACTTTGCACCCGGTTTAGACTTTTCACTCTGTGGTCACAACTCACCCCTTGCCCCAAAAAACCTACTTGAGGACTGAGTCACATAAATGGATTGCCACACCAAGAATGTACTTTTGGATTAGACATAGGGTTTGAAGATACACTAAATAAATGAGAATTAGATACCAGCAAGACCTGGGTTCAAATCTCTGTCCAGCCACAAAGCCCATTGGATCCCTTGGTATATTAGTGTGCCTCAAACAATTTAGAAGGTTAAAATAGAATACAGTGGGAGGGCTTCTAGTATCCTGGCCCCACTGCTGGACCTCCTGATGGCACCTGGTATTTTAGGCCACTGTGTGACAGAGTGTTGGACTGGATGGGCCACTGGCCTGATCCAACATTGACTTCTCTTATGTTCTTATGAGGGCAGATCCATGTCTTTAAAATTAGGTTTGCCCAATCATGCCTAAAATAGGGTGAAATGCTATGTTTCAAAACTCCCAAGGGGTGCCAAGGAAGGGGTGCTGAGTCCCTAGTCTGCCTGCAGCTCCTCTGCAGTTCCTGCAGGTGCTTTTCACCTGGTACCAGAAGTGATCACAAGTGGAAAAAGAGTGGCTGGTGGGAGGGGAGACCACTGGGTGAAAGTTAGTTCACACAAGTCCACTCTCAACTATTCAGTGCCTGATCTATAAATTAAAATTACAAAAGGGAGGTGCATGAAATAAAGATTACCAAAACCATTTTGTAGTCAAGCCGTGGTTCATACATTCATAATAAAACTGTGGATCCTATGCCTGCTGAATTTGCACCAATATTAGTTTTACTTTTAGCTGTCTCCCCTGACCCTGAAGTATCCACATTCAGGAGTTGCATCAAGCTGTCCTACAGCCTGCTACACCCAAATTTAATGCAAAGGTATTATTTATTCATGGCTCTTTTAGTCTTGCTTCCCTTCAAAAATTATGTTCAAATGGATCTGTACACAGGATCCTTGACTCAGCTATGAAAAGGCTGCCTTTGCGCAAAAATCCAATAATTGGTTCCCAACCTACAAAAAACAGCTTTTTATCATTTTGCCCCTTGCAATCCTCAACATTGCTCTCCATGACATTTCTTTCATGGTCAGGAAGTTCTTGAGAATCCCCAGCCTTCAATTAATTACAGCAAAGAACTTTCCCTGCTCTGCTTGGTCAATGTATTTTTCCACACACAGTGCATTTTATAGGAGAAAACTCAAAACAACTCTTGGGAGTTTTCTAATCCTTGAGACACTACTATGCTTGGGTTAGTCTCCTAGCCTTTGAGGAACACGCCTGCTGGTCTCTACAAAAAGGGTAATGCTGAAAAGGGGTTGGAAGCAGTGTTCCCTCTAAGCTAAGTTAGTGTGTGAGCTCCAGCTCACACATTTTTGTCTTCGCTCAGGAAGGATGGCTCCAGAGCAGTGTTCCCTCTAAGCTGAGTTAGTGTGAGCTAGCTCAGAGTTTTTCAGCCTCCGGCTCACACATTTTTGTCTCGGCTCAAGAAGGATGGCTCCAGAACAAACTACTTGATGCAGGAGCCAAATTGCTCGCTCACAACTTTAATGCCAGTAGGTCACAAAGTAGAATTTTTGCTCACAGGACTCCACAGCTTAGAGGGAGCATTGGTTGGGAGGGAGGAGACCTAAATATTAAACTGCTGTCACAAGAGGCAAAGGATGCAATTAAGACCCTGAAGATTGATCCTTGTAACTGTTTTGAAATGGCCCAAAATGTGAAAATTATACTCATATATTGAAAATAGCCACTGTAGATGTGCTGGTGAGGAGGCAATAGCCTCCTACGAATTGGAGCAGAGTGTCTCTTTGAGAGTCTTGGTCACACCACCCACACTTGAAACAGTTAAATTCCAACCTTGGGGGGACGGCTGAGTGTCTGTCATCCCACTCTCCTCAGTGGATCCAGCTGTGGGGAATAGGGGATAGTTGGATAATTGGCTCCTCGTCTGGATCCAGGGCCTTGCACTTGTTAGGGGAGTACAGGTTAGCAAGTTCACTTACTAGTTCTTTCATTAGCAGGTTGTCAATGCACAGCTGTTTAGCCAATTTTAGTGTAGAGTACATACTCCAAAAGATGGACTTCTTACAGTAGCCAAAAACGAGTTTAGACATTATGCCCAGAATGCAGATGGGAAGCCACTGACCAGGAAGAGGGTGCCAGTTAGTACTCTCCTGAAGTATACGAGGAACAATCATTTACTGAGTAGACAGCAAAGCGATCTTGAAGGAGAGAATGAAGGGCTGGGGGTGGTTCCACACTGGAGCCATTCAAATTAGCTGCATCTGTGGATTTATCACTGTAATTCCATGCCATGAAAAATTTCCACTGCAATGAGGAAAGAACAGGAGAACAATGGATGGATGAAGCATGTGTGAATTAGGGTAATAGTGCTCAATTTCACTAATGTGGACTCACCCTGGGTAGTTTTCATTTTCCAGATAGCAGGGAACCCTGCTGGTAAAAATATGGTGGAAAGGGGGACTGGCTAAGATGGCAGGATTGGTTTATTTAGACATAACTCGGACCTTTTTATTTTGTTTTAAAAATGTGTGTTGCTTATTTAAAACTTCTTGGAATGAGCTTTTGGTTACATTTTCTAAGGAGTACATTGACTGTTAGTGATTTCCCAATTGTAAATTTTCTAGTTATGTTAATTGTTGTCAACATTGGAGGGGGAGGTTATTAATTTAAAAATGGCAAGTAAAAACAGACATTCTCACATACAGATGAAAATTTTGTCCTGACTTTGGGCACAGACTGTTAAGTCCGGCGCTTAACAATAAGTCAGAGAGTGATTTCAGCAAAACTCAGGTTTATTCAGCTCGATAATCGACTTCTCCAACACGGTACAACTCCTCATAGCCCGAACAGCTTGTCCATTTCAGCTGCTCGGTATTTAAACATTCCGGGCTAATGTAGTCACACCTACTATACATATTTCAACCTATCAGGTTGATCGCATAACAAACCAATCATAAGCTTTCCCGCTTACATACAGTTTAAATGTGATTGGCCGCAAAGTCTTCGGCGCGAATCCCTGCCGAAGCCTGAAGCTTAACATAGCTTCTCTATGGGGATGATTCACATTCATCCTAGCATATTCAGGGCAGCATCTGAATACACTACAAATCCCTCCCCCCTAAGCAAAAACACTATGAACAGTCATAATCACTCAGGTAGGAAGGTGCACGTCGATTTCTCTGAGATCTACGAGGTGGTACAATCTCAGGGCACGGTTCCGTCAGTGGCACTCCATCGGACTCTGTAACCGCAGAGTCAGGAACATTCCCCTCTGTTTCAGTGGGTCCAAGAGTAGGGGTCTGCCCTGCCTCTTGCCCAGTACCGTGGCCCTCAGGCTCTGCAGTACTCGCCTCCTCTAGAGGCCGCGGGAATTCCTCAGGGTCTGGGGACTCAGTTGGCAGCGCGTTGGGACGGTCAGTTGCCCACCGTTGCCTCAACTGGTCTATGTGCCTACGCCACTTGCGACCATCAGCAAGTCGTACCACATACATATGTGACCCAATCATATCAACAATAGTGGCTGGGAGCCACAAGTGACCACTGGCATAATTTCGAGCATACACTTGCTCACCTTTTTCGTATGTCCGGACCTTCGGACTTTCGGTCTGCTGTGTGGGCTTTAAATCATTGAGATCCGGAGGCATCCGGTCAAACAAGGTTGTCAAACGACGGCCCATAAGCATTTCGGCAGGGCTGCGGCCCGTTGCCGAACATGGGGTTACATGTTGTTGCAGTAAAAACGATGTCAGTTTAACCCCCCAATCACCATACACTAGTTT